CCGCTGCCGCAGGCCGGGGCCTCCGCGGGGCCAAGACCTTTGGTGGAAGAACGAGCGCGATCACAGCGTGGAAAAGAAAAGATTGAGTGCACGCTGTCAGTGTCCAGCTTGACAAAATACAGGCAGCAAATGTGTTTCTTTTAGTATGTGGGCTTTTATTAAAAGCAATGTTGCAGGAAAAGTATGAACTGTGTAGAAATACATGAGTACGTGAAATTCAGCCATTTGGGTTGACTCGGAGAAGACGGGGGAAACAGGTGCTGGAGGCAAAGAGCTGGTGTCGGGGGTGGCAAATGGTGGTGCCTGAGGTTGGGATGGGGGATCCTGTGCCGTTTGGGCGCCTTGGGGTGTCTGTGCACGCCAGCTGTCTGGCACCAAACTTGTGAGACCCCCTCCGAGAGCTTCCCTCTTGTTGGCAGAGTCGTGGGGAAGTCACTTTGTGGGACAGCCGGCTGCGAGGCAAATATAACATCATAGAACAGGCTGGAGTGGCAAACGCTGCTATCGTCACAGGTCTCTCCTCACAGGCAAAGCAAGAGCCTTGGCTATTGATTTTCCCCAGCTCCTCCGTTCAGGCTTGCAAGGATCTGAAGGTCGAACTCACAAATTGAAATTTTTAGGATCGGTGTGCCCAGACCAAAGCCCCAGCAGGCGGAAGACGGGGAAGCTTGGTGTTGGGCATTTCTGAGAGATTCGGACAGCCCGGCCACAATGGATTACTGGAAGTACTACATCAACGGCATCGTGGCAGACAGGAACGTTGAAGATGTGGCTATCGTGGGCCTCTCTGACAACAAGTGCGTGTGGGCGGCCAAGCCAGGAGGGCTTCTCATGATACCAGCAGAGTTTAAACATAACCTTATGTAAATATGCTCTAGTTGTTGTAGCTTTAGCTATCGTGCAGAGCATTCATGAGGTCAAGGATGGAATTTTGTAACAAGAACTTATCTTAGAATAACAACCACGAGGACTTGAGCAATTACGGATGTATAGAATGCTTACAAAGCCTTTGGAAAAATAACATCCATAGTGGCGTCCTGAAGTTAACTATGCCTCGGAATGAGTAGGGGGCACCTACCCAAACGACCACCGACGACCACTCGGGACTCCCGTGCATGCTTAGTATAGTTTTGCAACATTAGCAATATGTAAATATAGTAGATAAGAAGGGTCAACGTGATGTATATGCCATACTAATGAGTTATGCAAACTTGAGCATATAAATATGCTAAGTTTTCTGTTTAACCTTACACTCAATGTGGGGAACTTTCCCCGAGTGTCCGATTCTGCACACTATCGAATAAAGCAATGTCTCCTTCCTAAACGTAGTCTTTTCTCTGTGTTTCGGGAGTTAAACGATAACACTCGCAGCCATCTCGCCTCAAGAACTGGCCTTGATCACAGGCCAGGATCGGAAAACGTTCCTGCTAACGGGAATCACCGTAGCTGGCAAAAAGTGCAGTGTGATTTGTGACCACCTGCTGGTGGATGAAGACAACATGATGGATGTCAGAAGCAAAGGCAGTGACAGCAGATCCATGAGGGCAAGACCCCGAAAGCCCTGATCTTCCGCATGGGCAAGAAGGGAGTCCACGGACGAGCCCTCAACCAAAGGGTCCATGATATGATTGTGAGCATGAAAGCATGAAACAGATAGTGCCAAAGAGACAGACATCTGCCTGAGCACAGGGGCACGGTCGTTGCTGTAGCAGAGAAGGGAAATAAACCTGATTGTGTTGCACGTATCTTTGCCTGCTTCTTTCAGGTGGGGGGGTGCTGGGCAGGCAGCAGTGCTGGGACACTAACAGTCTACCTGACCAGCTGTGGTGCAGAAGGGAGTAACATCTATATTCCTCATCAGGATGCTCAGTATTACTTGAGTGGCCTCCCAGCCATCTTGGGTAGTTGCTCCCTGTTATTCTCATTTTACTGACTGGTTTTGGGGTGAAGGTCTCTGATAACATTAGCTTTGGGAAAGGGCAGGAGGGAGAGCAATCCCTTTACCCTCTTGTTCACCACTTTGCTGTTTAAATTATGCCTTAATGCCATTCATGGGTTTTGAGACCTTCCTCCTTCTACAAGTAGGCCACAACACTAAGGATAAGCAGGACTTACTGTTTATTTTGAATTTGCCCCTAGAACAAGCCCAGCTCATTCTGGAGATTAACTATTGATCAGCAGAGCCTTATGCTGCTGTTGGACTGTGTGGGAGGCACGTGCAGAGATAGTCTGCCACCTGCTCACCTTCCACATCACTTGAAACCCCTTCTTACACTACTTTACTGACCAAATTGGGTTTTTTATGAGATAAGTTACCTGTCTTGCATCTGTGGCATGGAGATCTTCTGAAGGTTGCTTCCTTTCCATCCTGCTTAGTCACACTGTCTGGCCTCAAGATCACAGGAGTCCCTGTAAGCCGCCCAGGACACCCGGGAGGACACAGAGTTGTGCCTAACGCTGCAGATTTCCTCCTCCATTCACCAGTACAGCCCTCCCCTCCTGCTCCCGCTTGTAACCCTAAATGGCCACTCTGAAATGAGGCAGAACTGGTGCGCTTGAGATGGGACCGACACAGGGAAGACTCAAGGGGTATCTCCAGCAGGGCCGATCTCCTCACAGGCAGGCTTTCCTTGCTCCATTGCTCCTGGCAGCTGTGGCAGCTGCCTGTCAGCAAGCCTGAACCCACCACATGCCGTCTGGCTGCAGCACAGGCGGGCTGTGACCACTCACCCACGGTGAGACACCCCGTCCTCCATACCCCTGGGACCTCCCCCCATTGCGCCAGGTAAATCACGGGTGCTAAACTGCTTGGTCTGGTTTGACCAGACCTCCCCCACCACCTTCAAATCGTTGACCCACTGAGTCACAAATAATTACTCGTGATGACTTTTTATGACACTGCCACAGACACGAGAGGAGAGCCAGCCCTGCTGAGCAGACTGAGAGCACTTGCACGCTCTCAGTTAATCTTCTCATTTAACACGGAGGCAATATTTTGTAATTTAATTGAATTCACACAGAGATCTTCAATCTGCAACCACACCCACAGGAGCAGAAAAACACTATAAGGGGAACCAGACATCTAATGTATTAGCAAATGTTCAACAAAACTGCAATGACTGTCTAGTGAGTAAGCACTCTTTGATAAGCAGTGCTTACAAGCATGAATCAAAACAAATCAACGTAAGTACTAAAGGGAAAAAAAACACAAAAACGCAAACTGGTTTTCAAAACTAACAATAAAAGCAATGCATCAAATGAAATAAATAAATGAAAAAAATGTTAATATTTATGCTGGCCACAAGTTTTTCAAAAAGCAAAGGCATTCCTAATTAACATTGCTGCTTATTTTCACAAGCTTAAGGCAAAAATGAGTAACTATCTTCTGCGATTTCTTGAGCAGTGGTAGTATTCTCCACTGTGCAAATCACAAAATGCAGAAAGCTTTCGCCCTCCGAACTTCAGTCTAAGAGGCATCAAAAATGACAGGATTTGGAATAAGAGAAAATCGTTTTGGATGATTTACTGCTTGCTCCCTTCTTCAGGGTGCCAGAAAAAACAGGTCTGGAGTGTATATATATACACTTTACCAGCATGAGAATTTGGAAAGTGTGGACCTATATAGCGTGACGGTGTTGTGAATAGCTACAGCTCCTCCCTAGTTACACATTATGGGCAGCACAATGGTGTACAAAACCAGTATCATTCAGTTTGAAGGATTTGTTAACTAAATTCAGAAATAACTAGCCTTTGCTAGTGATTGCATATTAATTTAGAGACAAAATTATTTCTAAATCCAAGAAGGACCTTAAACTTTCGCTCCCTAAATCTACCAGCCTGGAGTCTAAGGAGATTCTGTTCAGACCAGCCCCGACAAGCAGCTGTTACATTCAGCCCTGACTCTTCTTGAAGACTATGGCATGAAGGAGCTTAAAGAGGAATAACAGAAGGCGGCAGCATCTGCATAATCTCTCCTCTCCTGCTGTGATACAAGGAACACAAAATTAGAAATGGCTGCAGAGAGCGTGGTTGTGGCTTAATGTTTCAGACCTAAGACTGCAGCCTTTGAGAAAAGCCTTCTTCACCCATAGACCAGGCACCCCTCAAAAAGCCTCCAGTAAATATCTTGACCAGTAGGTTTGTGTACTCCTCCGTCCCAGGCACACCTGTGCTTACCTGGGAGCCACCAACTCCTTCTGCTGTAAAGCGTTGTGAATAGAGCCATTCAGACAAAACGTAGGTACTGCTTTTGTTACAATCCAAACACAGCCTCTTGGGTGACAGCACTGTATTTGCCGTAGCCAGAGCGGGCATGGTAAACCTGCACTTAAAAGGAAATGACCGTGTTTTCAATTGCTTATAACTTCATCAGACTTCAGGACAGTTGTGCTGAAATTCTCTGCACCAGGTCCTTGCCTCAGCCTGCTTAAAATGTGTCTGATCAGATGGAGGATTTGCAGTGTCAATCCCACAGCAAACTGGGGCCAGGCTCTCTCAGTCACGGAAGCGGACGATGCTGGCTTATCTTGACAAAGCATAGTGTCAGCTCAGAAGCATCCATGTGACAAATTTTCGGGTGGAACAAATTTTATGGAAAAAGTAATCTTTTTATGCCTTCAGATGCAGTGGGCAATTGGAGATAATTCTTCTAGAGACAAAGCTAGACTCTTCTAACAATGGCTCAATCAGAGGTCTAAGGTGAATGACGAGGAAAGATTTAAAGAATTTTACTTGTTTCCACTAAAAAAAAGACAAGTGACTTGGGATCTTGTAGGTATTCACATATGTGCACAGTGCTGTAGTTTGGAGAGGCATCAAATACTGCACCGAGGGGGAGATTTGGATGGACATTACAAAAAAAAAAAAATCCCAGTGACAAAGACAGCAAAACGCTGGCCTAGATTAGGTGACAGGGTGTTTGGATAGAGCTAAATGTAGGCTGGACTTGTCTCAGCAAAGGAATAGGGGTTAAATGCCCACAGCAGGGACATGCCAGTTATTTTTCCAGTGACTCTTTGGTAATGCAGCAAAAGGCAGGGATGAGGGGATGACACTGCCGAGTATGCAGCCATCCTATGCTGAATTCAGCAAGATATGATAAAAATTATATTACACACACACACACACACATACAAATTATATCCTTCTTCCAAACTTAGAACAAACAATAAATTCAAAAGATTCCTTCACAGAGAGGAGGGGAGGATAAAAGCATTGCTGTTTCCTCTTATAATCTTCAAGGAAATCAGAGTTCAGTGAGTCATGCACTAGAAATGAGCTCAGTGAAGTTCATGTAGGGAAAAATCTCAGGCGACTAATTCGGGATGATAGAATTAAAAAAAGAGTCATTAATGATAGATGCCTTTTAATGGACTCAGAGCAATGAGATAAAGGGATCTTTTTTGTGAGGCTTTTCCTACACAGACAATCGTAAATACATAAAAGCTAGGCAGGTGGGTAGGCTGCTTTGTTCACTGTCCAGTCATATAGGAAGATGAATTGAAAATTGTCTTTTTCCTCCAGTCAAATGCTAAACCTCAGTCTCTCTAAGTTCACCAGGACAATACAGAAATGGTTGTTCCAGGCAAATGTTTGGCCCGGTATTAACTAATGCAGGCTAATGATGTTACAAGTTCTCCCCATGTTCCATAATTGCAGTTCTCCAGGTGAGTATAATATCAGTCAAGCAGCTTTAGGAATTTGAATAGTCAGGGTGGGCCTGCATGTCATCTGGGAGAGCAGGTAAGGACCGAAGGAGAGGCTTTACTGGGGAGCAGTACATTTACTCTGCAGCACAAGGACTAACACACTTCTGCAGCTATGGTTTAGCAGCCATCATGGGTGAGGATGGAATTCACCAAGGACAGGAAAGTACCCACCCTAATTCAGGCACAGCTGAAAAAGCAATCTGATGCTAGCTTAGTGTCCCAGGAAAGGAAGGAGCAATGATTGCTTTGTGGGCAGCAGAAATAGGGGAATACAGAAAGCATCAGGAGGCAAGTACAGACAGCGTGCTGGAGCTGGGGTCCAAGGCAGCTCCTGGGGGGGTCATTCCAGTCTGCCGACCTCCATTCCTCCTGCATTTGAAATTACACGTCCTGTCTTAAGCAGGTGTGATCTCTTCAGTGGAGGACGAGATCCAGAAACAAGAAGTGGCCGTGGCTCGTCCCCTTTCCTCCAGTGAAGCATCCTTAATGAATGTTTTTAAAGCACAGCAAGAACCTCAGGGCAAAGTGTAATGCAATTTTAGGTGTTGAAGGAAATAAAAAACCAACCCAAGAACAACGTTCCTATGGCTTTACATTTGAGACACTTGCAAACAGGAAGCTCAGGATTCACCTGGGTAGAAAACACTGATACGTGAAGACACACGTTACACTGCTGGGACCCAAACGTCCTGAAGATGGGTCTGGACAAACCAGGAGGCCAGCCTAGGGGAGGGCAGGAAATCCCTGCAGGAGATGAGACGGAACAGCGAGGCAGGGTGACAAGGCTGGAAATCTGATTTTTTCCCAGGAGATGGCACTAAAGGACAACTGCCTTTCAGGCGGCATCGTGCAATGCAGCGAAAACTTCGCTAGCGGCCAAACTGTTCCTCAGGCAGTTTCCACTGCCAGCTTCACAAGTCGCTCCTTGTTATCAGAAGCA